AAGAAGTTAAACTGTCCCTGTTTGGGGATGATATGATACTATACATAGGAAATCTAAAGACTCCATGAGACAACTACTGAAACTAATAGAAAAATTCAGCAGACAGCAGGATACAAGATAAACATAAAAAAATCAGTTGGATTCCTGTACACCAATAAAGAGAAAGATGAAAAGGAAATCATGAAAACAATACCATTTATAGTAGCCCCTAAAAAAAAATACTTAGGAATAAATCTAACCAGGATGTAAAAGATCTATACAAAGAAAACTACAAACTACTACTGCAAGAAACCCAAAGGGGATCTACATAAACGGAAAAACATACCTTGCTCATGGATAGGTAGACTCAACATTGTGAAAAATGTCAATTCTACCCAAAACAATCTACAAATACAAAGCAATCCTGATCCAAATAGCAACAGCATTCTTTAAAGAGATGGAAAAACTAATCATTAACTTTATGTGGAAAGAGAAGAGGCTCCAGACAAGTAAAGCAGTATTGAAGAAGAAGAATAAAGTAGGAGAACTTACACTACCTGACCTCAGAACCTACTAATTCAGCTACAGTAGTCAAAACAGCCTGGTACTGGTACAACAGATACATTGACCAATGGAACAGAATTGAGAACCCAGGTGTAAATCCATCCATCTGTGGTCACCTGATCTTTGCAAGGGCCCAAAATCCATCAAATGGGAAAAGACAGTCTGTTTAACAAATGGTGCTGGCAAAACTGGATGTCCACCTGCAAAAAAATGAAACAGGACCAATACCTCACACCATATACAAAAACTAATTCAAAATGGATCAAAGACCTAAATATAAAGCCAAAAACTATAAAGTTTATACAAGAAAAAATAGGATCAATGCTAGAGGCCCTAATACACAGCATTAACAGGATACAAGCCATTACTAACAACACAAAAACTCCAGAAGATAAGCTAGATAACTGGGATCTTGTAAAAAAAATTAAACACTTATGCACATCAAAAGACTCAACCAAAAAAGTAAAAAGAGAACCTACAGACTCGGAAAATTTTTTTGGACATTACAAGTCAGACAAAGGTCTAGTCTCTAAAATCTACAAGAAAATCCAGCACCTCTACAACAAAAAGACAAATAATCCAATTAAAAAATGGGCAAAGGAAATGAACAGACACTTCACCAAAGAACACATTCAAGTGGCCAACAGACACATGAGGAAATGCTCGCGATCACTAGCCATTCGAGAAATGCAAATTAAAACCACAGTGAGATACCATTTCACCCCAGCATTATTGGCACGAATTAAAAAAACTGGAAATAACAAATAATGGAGAGGCTGCAGGGAGATCGGAACTCTTATGCACTGCTGCGGGGAATGCAAAATGTTACAACCATTTTGGAAAATGATATGGCGCTTCCTTAGAAAGCTAGAAATAGAAATAATGTGCCTAGCAATTTACCCTAGAGAAATTAGAGCCGTCACACGAACAGACATATGCACACCATGTTCATTGCAGCATTGTTCACAATAGCAAAAGATGAAAACAACCTAGATGCCCATCAACAGATGAATGGATAAACAAACTATAGTACAAACACACAATGGAGTATTATGCATTGATAAAGAACAATGATGAATCTGTGTAACATCTCATAACATGGATGAAACTGGAGGACATTATGCTGAGTAAAATAAGTCAATCACAAAAGGACACATATTATATGAGACCTCTTTTGTAAAAACTCATGAAAAAGTTTACATACAAAAAGAAACAATCTTTGTTGGTTATGAGGGATGGGAAGGGTGGGAGGGGAAATACTAAATAGACAATACATGAGTGGTAACTTTGGTGAAGGATTTAAGACAGTACACAATACTGGGGAAGCCAGCACAACTTGTATAAAGAAAGGTCATGGAAGCTCCATAGACACATCCAAACTCCCTGAGGGACTGAATTGCTGGGTGGAGGGCTGTGGGGACTATGGTCTCAGAGAACATCTAGCTCAACTGGCATAACAGTTTATAAAGACAATGTTCTACATTCTACCTTGATGAGTAGTGTCTGGGGTCTTAAAAGCCTGTGAGCAGCCATCTAAGATACTCCACTGGTCTCACCCCATCTGGAACAAAGGAGAATGAAGAAAACAAGATACAAGGGAAAGATGAGTCCAAAGGACTAATGGACCACGACTACCACAGCCTACCCCAGACTGAGTCCAGTACAACTAGATGGTGCCTGGCTGCCACCACAGACTGCTCTGACTGGGATCACAACAGAGGGTCCTGGACAGAGCTGGAGAAAAATGTAGAACAAAATTCTAGCTCACAAAAAAAAGACTAGACTTACTGGCCTGACAAGAAACCCTGAGAGTATGGCCCCCGGACACCCTTTTAGCTTAGTAATGAAGTCACTCCCGAGGTTCACCCTTCAGCCAGAGATTAGACAGCCCCATAAAACAAAAGGAGACTAATGGGGCACAACAGTCCAGGGACAAGGACTAGTAGGGTTTCCAAGGAGCGGCTGGTGGATTCCAACTATCAACCTTTTGGTTAGCAGCTGAGCTCTTAACCACTGCACCACCAAGTAGCTCCATTAATTATGGCTTGCATTGAACACATTACTAGTATCTTTCTTCAGTAGATCTTTTTTTCCAAATTCAGGAAGCGGTATGCAGGGGGAAAAAGGGAGTTTGAGGTTTCAAAGAAACAGAACCTCAAGAATCTGAAAACCTAAGAAGGTTGTAAGCTTCCAGGCTTGTCGGCCTCTGGCGCAGCAATAATTCTGTGGCTGAGCCCCCACTAGCCGCTTCCCGGTGACCATGCGCAACAGGCTGGGGTCGGAGCCTATAAAAAGCACAAGGTTTTCGCAGAGCCTCATGAGCGCATACCGGGAATCGTAGTTCCGCGCTCTTACGCAGGCGCAATAGTGTCAGCTGGCTTGCGCGCGCAGGTCCTGCAGGCACCTGCTTCTGGAAGCTCCCTGCGGTGGCTTTGGTCCTGGCTGCGGATTTGGAAGCAGGTATTGATTGTCCCAACCTTTTAGATTTGGGGCCCTTCGTACGGCGCCGGTCCCAAAGGCGCACCTGTGGTGGAGTGGGGGCCAGAGCAGCCGACACGTCTGCTCTGCACTCCCGATGCTGCTGTTTCTGTGGGAAGTGGGCACACTCCTGAATGAAGGAGCCGTCGGCTTTCATCCATCCCTTCTCTGCGCCCACGGTTTTTCAACTTTGGCACTATTGCTGCTTTGGGCCGGATAATTCCTTGGGGGGGTGTGTGTGAGAGAGAGAGAGAGAGTGAGGGAGTAGGGGCTGGTGGGGGTGGGCTGTCCTTAGCATTGCAGATGTTTAGCAGTATCCCTGACCTCTACTTGGTAGACGCCGGTAGCCCCCAACCCCCTCAGTCGTGACAATCTAAAAATATCTGCAGACTTTGCCAGATATCCTCTGTGAACCAAAATCGCCCTCCGTTGAGAGTCTCTGCCTGCGTCATATTTTCACCAAGCTTCTATTGTAAACTCCCTGGAGACTTAGACGAGTGTCATAGTCACCACGGAGTCCCAGGTACCCTGCATAGAGCCAGGTCCATGATAGGCGCTAATATTTGACCGAGGAATAAATAAGGTCATTCACAATGTATGCCGGGCTCTGTGCTTGGAGATGGGTAATTATTGGTAATGATAATTGCAGTGAGCAGAGAATGTCACTCTCACTTGCCGCATCCTAGGACATCTCAGGCTGTATTGAAATTTCTTGGGAGTCCTGTGAGGATGGAGACCGTGTCTGCCTAGTCTGTCTCACCTATCCATGCCTGTCTCTTCAGTCTCCTGTTTCCAGCTCATTGTAGATGTTCAGCTATTTATCGAATGGATGAATGCATGCAGCACAGGAGCAGGCTCTGTGCAAAGAAGCACAAGGGAGATCAGAGGGAGTTTCATGGAAGAAGTGACAATTGGAAGTAGTCAAGTTTTAAAGAATGAGTAAAAATTGATAGGAGAGGGAGTGGCCCTGGTGCAAAGGATGGAAAAGGATAGAGTGCCTGAGAGTGGGGAAGATACACTTTATGACTGCAGTATCAATCCGTTAGGGGTAGCTAGAGCTCAGAGGACTGAGATCATCAAGGCAGGGTCTCTAGATCATCATGCATGGCCTCTGTACTTGAACATTATATTGAGACATTTGGGAAGACAGTGAAGAGTTATAAGCAGGAGTAATAGTTTTATCTTTTGCATGTTAGGAGTCCTTAGGCTACAGTGTGGAGACTGGATTGAAGGAGTTGAGTGGCTTGTACTTAGGATGTTTCAGTAGGGGTGAAATGGAGAAGTACTTAGGAAATAAAATCTCCACGACTTGGTTAATGATGATGTGAGAAGTAATGAGGAAGAGAGATTTGAGAGTCTGGTGTGACCTCTGAGTTGAGTGACTGGTGGGAAATGTGTTGCCACGCACAGAGAGAGGACAGGAATTGTTAAATAGGTCTGTAACTGAATCCCCTTGTATTACTGAGCCTTTTCTGACATATTTTGCTTTTGAGGCATAGTATTTAGTCTGAAGTAGCTATTTCCTTGGAGAGTACTTTTTTTATTTCTTTTATTGTGATAAATATATAGGTAACAAAATATCTGCCATTTCTACAATCCGCACATGTACAATTCAGTGACATTAATTATGTTCAGTGGGGGCACTTTTAATTATCCTTAAATAACTCTTTGGCTTTTGACCTGCAAAGAAAATTTTCCTTTTAATATAGTAGTTGAGCAGGGCTTTTCTAGGTGTCTGAAGGTTATGTGTATGTGAATATATCTGAACCAAACCAAGAACAGTGTTTTCAAAATTAGCAACAATGTGTCTGACTTATTTAATACCTTATATTTCTTGACAGTTTCTGCAAGACCATAAACTGAATCCTTGGAACCTTTGAATTAACCTTGATATTTTGCTGTCTATAGTACCTGTTAGTAGACTGTACTGATATTCAGCTAGAGTCTAAAGGGTACTGGATTCCTGCTGGTAATATATACTGCAAGCTGTGGTGCTCTTGAACAAGGTGGTGGCCACTTTCTCAGAACCTCACGCTCTGGCTTCAAGTGAACAAAACAAGGTCCTAAAAATGGATACTCCTGGCGATCAAGAAGCTCTCTTAAGAGGAGACACTACTGACCCAGAGACTTCAAGACAGAGGTTCAGGAGGTTTCGTTACTCAGAAGAGGCTGGACCCAGAAAAGCCCTGAGTCAACTCTGGGAGCTCTGCATTCAGTGGCTGAGACCAGACATTCACACGAAAGAACAGATTTTAGAGCTTTTGGTGTTTGAGCAATTCCTGGCCATTTTACCTGGGGAGATCAGGAATTGGGTAAAGTCACAACATCCTGAGAGTAGTGAGAAGGTGGTGACCCTAGTAGAGGATTTGACCCAAATGCTTGAAGAAAAGGAAGGTAAGATTTATAGATGGAAGGAGGAAGTGAGAGATCTCAAGGTATGAAAGTAACTCCCTCCACAGAAAGCACTTTACTGCTAAAGAGAAGTCTTAAGTTTGGGAGTAGGGACTGGGTTTGAATCAGCCCTGCCATTTACTGTGTGATCTTGGGCAAGCTACGTAGCCTCTCAGAACATTAATTTTTTTTACCTGTGGAAAGGGAATACTGTCTTCTCCATAGTTTGGTTGTGAGGATTAAACATGATAAGGTATAAATAATACATGGTAGATGCTTAAGAAATACTAATTTTTTTCCCTCCCCCATTAAGTAAGGGAAGCCTTAGAAAACAAGAAAGAAGCTATCTATGAAAGTGTTTGGAGTCTCAAGCATATCTCCCAGCCCCAGTCTCAGCTTCTAACTCCAATGTGTGCACTAGCATGTTTTTTAGAGTGGGAATATCCAATAGAAACTTTCTCTGCAGTGATGGGAATCTATTCTGTGCTGTTTTGGAGTTAAAGTTGAGTACTTGAAATGTAACTAGTGCAAATAAGGAACTGATCTTTAATTAAATAGCCACAGGTGGCTAGTGACTACCCCATTGAGGTAGTACAGTTTTAAAGCCTTCAAGAGGAAGAACAACTGAATTATATGTTTATAGTTACATTATTGTAAATTTTATATAAATACAAAATACAAATTGAATGATAGTGTATTTATAATCACATCATTATAAAATACTAATGTGAACACTTTGAGGGTAGAGAGCCCTTGGAGGGAATATGGTTCAACTTTTATAAAAACCCTCTAATATGCTAAAGATGTTTATCCCAAATATTTTTAGCAGATTATTTACCACTAGGCTCACAATACATTTGTGTGACAGTTTTATTCTACCAAGAGTTCTGAGAGAGAGAGGGAAGTAATGTTTACCTCTGCAAACTTATTTTATAGTCACAAAGCAAATTGGTGAATCTAAAATTTGGTTTTCCTGACTTCTCCTGCATGACTTATCTGGAAAGTTTTTTTAAAAGACAATCCTTTTCTCTGTGATTGCATAATTTTAATTCTTAATTTGTGTTGATTACCTAATCAATAGAGCTACCTGAAATTCTTCTCATAAGAAGGTGGAGTATGATTTTAAAAAATAATTTTCCTTTATTACAAGAGGAGCTGTTGACATCTTGGGGCATTTTGTACATTTACTTTCTGTGTTCAGATTCCCATTTCTGTCTTTTGGAATCTGGTAGTGACCCCAGAGGTGGAGTTAGTTCTTGAGATCAGGTTAGTGCTTTCATTCATTCAGTAAATAATTTTGAGTGACACTGTGCTAGGATGGTGAAGAAAATAAATTAACATATGAAAGAAATATGCTGTTTTACTTTAATACATCTAGTAAATGTATAAGTTTTAAAAGTCCTTATTGTGCAAGTTAAATACATTAAAACTAAGGCTATGTAGAATGAAGGAGAGAGAGTTTTTGTGAGCTTAGGACTTGAAAGGATTTTATTTTTTCTTTTTTTTAATATTTTATTGTACTTCAGGTGAAGGCTTACAGAACAAATAGTTTCTCATGAAACAGTAGTACACATGTTGTTTTATGAACTTGGTTAACAACCCCACAACATATTAACCCTCTAAATTCTCAATCTTTATTTCTTTGGTGAAAATACACATAGCCAAAGATACACCGTTTCAAACATTTCTACGTACACAGTTCAGTGACATTGACTACGCTTTTCCAATTGTGCTGTTATTCTCACTTAAGATGAAGGCTTACAGAACAAAATAGTTTCTCATTTAACAGTTACTACAAATGTTGTCCTATGACAATGGTTAACAATCTCACAACACATCAACAATATCCTTACTCAACCTTGTGTTCCCTATCACCAGCTTCCTTGTCCCCTTCTGCCTTCTGGCCCTTGTCACTGGACTCCTGTACCTCGTTGGTCTGATTTGGTTTTACGGGGCTGTCCACTCCCAGGCTGAACAGTGAACCTTGGAGGTAACTTCAGCACTGAGCTAAAAGCGTGTCTGGGGGCCATACTCTTGGGGTTTCTCCAGTCTCCTTTAGGCCAGTAAATCTGGTCTTTTTTTTTTGTGAGTTAGAATTATGCTCTACATCCTTCTACAGCTCTGTCCAGAACCCTCTGTTGTGATCCTGGTCAGAGCAGTCAGTGGTGGTAGCCGGGCACCATCTAGCTGTACTGGACTCAGTCCGGTGGAGGCCTTGGTAGCTGTGGACAATTAGTCCTTTGGACTAATCTTTTCCTTGTATCCTGTTCTCTTCATTCTCCCTTGCTCCCGAAGGGATGAGACCAGTGGAGTATCTTAGATGGCCGCTCACAGGCTTTTAAGACCCCATACACTACTCACCAAGGTAGAATGTAGAGCATTGTCTTAATAAGCTGTGTGATGCCAATTGAACTAGATGTTCCCCGAGAGAAAGGATTTTTTATGAGGAAGGGGAGAAAGCTTGGGGTTTTATAGGAAACAATACCTGTGGCTGCTAGCTCTGTTTTAAAAAGTAGGGAAAATTTTTTTCTGTTTCTCCTGAACTTTTTCTCTGAAGGATAAGACATACATGAGGACTTCTGGTTTGAAAAATCCATTTAAAAACTGGACTTTTATTTTCCCCCCTTCCTAGATCCGCTCTCTCGAGATTATTTCCTTTCCCAAGAGGAGAACCCAGAAGAAGATAAAATGGCTGTTGTTCTTCCAAATGCTGAGTCCTTGGTAAGTTTGCTTTCACTGATTTTTCTTCTTTAGTGACTACTTCTTGAGCTTCTACTAAGTGGTATAAAGACACAAAAATAATGGGCAGTCTCCCTTTCAAAGAACTTATGCCTCATTTTTCACGTGTTATTTTATTTCATTTCCCAGAATATGTCACAAGTCTGATGCCAATTAAAAAAAACTTTTTCACTAAAATTCAATAATTATTCTTGATAAAATTAGGAAGATGGGAATAGAGTTATACTTCTTAACATGATAAAGCATATCTGCAACTGGTTAATGGAAAAGTGAAAATGGGCCTCGCAACGCCATTAAAAAATAAGGATGTCTAATCTCACTGCGGTTAATCAGTATTTCCTGATCATTCTAGCCAATTAGATTAGCCAGAAAGATAAGCAAGAAATGAGATGTAAGTATTGGTTTGAAAAATACAAATGCATATTATTTGCAGAGAATATTATTGTCTGTTTGGAAAACCTCAAAAAATCAACTGAACAAATACTGAAACTTGTATAATACTTGAGAAAAGCAACTGGTTACAAGTCAGTAAGTTTCCTATATGCCAATAATCACAAGTTAGGGAAAAAATTCTTATTTGACAACGATGAATAATAGTGCTGAGGTAGGCTGATTATGGCTCCCAAAAATATGTCCATGTCCTAATCTCTGGAGCCTAAAAATGTTACCTTTTTTGGAAAAATATTTTATCTTTGCAGATATGATTAAGTTGAAGAGTTTGAGATAAGGAGATTATCCTGGATTGTTGGGATGGTCCCTAAAAGCCATCACAAGTGTTGTTATAAGAGAGAGGCAGAGAGAGATTAGACACATTCACACAGAAGAGAAGGCCATGTAAAGACAGATGCAGAGATTAGTGATACAGCCATAAGCCAAGCAATGCCAGCAGCCACCAGAAGCTAGAAGAGGCAAGAAATGGATTTTCCTTCAGAGTCTCCGAAGGGAGCTAAGCTCTGCTGACACTAGGAGTGAATTTGGTTTTTTTTTTTTTAATTGTACTTTAGATGAAGGTTTGAACAAATCGTTTCTCATTAAACAGTTAGTACACATATTGTTTCCTGACGTTGGTCAACAACTCCACGACATGTCAACACTCTCCCTTCTCGACTTTGGGTTCCTCTTACCAGCTTTCCTGTCCCCTCCTGCCTTCTAGTCCTTTTCCCTGGACTGTTGTGCCCCATTAGTCTCGTTTTGTTTTATGAGGCTGTCTAATCTTTGGCTGAAGGGTGAACTTCAGGAGTGACTTCATTACTGAGCTAAAAGTGTGTCCAGGGCCATACTCTCAGGGTTTCTTCAGTCTCTGTCAGGCCAATAAGTCTGGTCTTTTTTTGTGTGTTAAAATTTTGTTCTACATTTTTCTCTAGCTCTGTCTGGGACCTTCTAGTGAATAAATTTTAAGTCACCATGGTTGTGGTAATTTGTTACAGCAGCCACAAGAAACTAATACGAATGCTAATAGGCACTTTCCTGTATACTGCAGAATGCCATGCAGAGGATGTTATGGAAAGTGTATTTTAATGAGTCAGTATGCGTGTTTGTAATTATAGAGAAATTCCAGGTGTGAGTGTGTTATTGAACACAGGTTCTGATTGATTGTGATAATGATTGCTACATTTAATCAACTGGAAATGAAAATTTAGAGTGTAGTTGCTGATATTATTCTTATATATTTAATCATCACGTGATTAGCTTACATTAATTCTGTGAATTTGGGGTATGGGAATGTAAATTGTACCCTTCACTTAATATTTTTCTCTTAATCTTAGAAATCAATGTGGAACTTGATCAATGTTAGTTATTCCAGGTAATCCTTGTACAACATTTCATACCAGGGACTGAAGGGGAGAGTCAGGAATTGTGTCATACCCATGTTCTGCATCATTTTTAATACAGATAGTAATAATAGTATTCATCATGTAATAGCTGCTTTCTAGCTTGCTTTGGAATTCTTAAAAAATTGGAATGCTCTCAAAGCCATTTATATCCTGACTACTTCTTTGGATCCTTAGTGTCTGTTTGGGAATAATCCAATGCAAAAGATCTATGTTTGGTGTTCTAGGAATCCATGGCATTCAAGGATGTGGCTGTGAACTTTTCCAGAGGAGAGTGGAAGAGGCTGAAGCCTTTTCAAAAGAAGCTATTTATGGAAGTGCTGCTGGAGAACTTTAGGAACCTAGAATTTCTGGGTAAAGACGTCTTCTCTTCATGACTTGGCATCTAAGTTGGATATCTTTTTGTCTCCTGTTACTGAAAGATAAGTGCTATGTGAGGTACTTTAGCTTTGTTCTGGCTGGGCATGCAGGGACTAAGATTACTAATCCTAAAAATGGGTCCTAAAAATGTACTTTTCTACAGCATTTCCTCCAAAGAAGGGTCTTTGCTTCATTGAACTAGAAATGTAAAGCATCCTTTTGCTGTCATCGAGGCCATGCCTTCCCCTACTTTCTCCTCGAATTCCAGTATTGATGCCTCTGCTTGAGAATTATCTTCTGCCTTCCCTGAAGGACCAGAGGCTCTGTATGAATAAATATTGGATGTCTTTGTTCTGTGCATAAACAGCCATTTTCCGTTTTTATCTCTATGAGCAGGCTTTCCAGTTTCCAAACTAGAATTGATTTCACAGCTGAAGTGGGTTGTAATGCCATGGCTGCTAGACAAAGAAGTCTCAAAAGGCTCCAGACCAGGTAAGTTGGTCAAAAGTAGACAGAGAAATTAAAACCGTTGCTTACCACCTCAGTTGGGAAGAACCTTTGAAATGTTGAGTGGACTAAAATATAAAGATAATTAGAATATAGCCCTTCTTCCTGGAGTGTTCATTTTATGGGAGAGACTCTCTTTGTTTGGGTCCTGGGAGAAGTAGATGCCAAAAAATGATTAGCCATGCAAGAGATTTATTGGGGAAAATTCCAGTGTTTAGAAGATGGGAAGGGAACAGGAAGTGGCTAGGAGAGCTGTCAGAGCATGATGCAGGCCTAACCCCTGTGAATGAGAGAGGGAAGGAAGGTTGGGAAGGAAAGGTCTTTTCTAGATTGCAGTGTATTTCTAAGCATGCTTTGGCAAGGTAGAAAGGGAGCCCTCAAACCAAAGTCGCCCATCAGAGGAGTCCCTTACTTTGTAGAAAAGGGCCTGCCTTGGTATCCCTGCCATACTCAGTCATCAGTTGGAGCAGCCCATAGGAAAGTGGCCTTGGCGTGAAGGCAGTGATGGATCCATATTCCAGCAGCAGGGGCTGTCAGGCATGCTCCTTATTGGAGGAGATCTGAAAGGCGCATTTTCATGGACGCCATAGAGACATATCAAAACAAAAAATGTTAGTAACGTGATGAGTGCTAAATAATGTCATGTGTGAGGAGCCATGGGGGTGTATAGGAGCAGGAGTTTAATTAACATTTGAGCTGAGTCTTGAAGGATAGGTAGGACTTCACCCAGTGGACAGTATGTATAGTATAATCCCATTTTTGTTAAACGGGAAAAATGTACATACATACATGCATGTCTAAATGCATAAATATATATGAATTTTAATATCTAGAAGACATTTGTGTTAATCCTTCAAGATTAACAACTGGTGAGAGTATGGTATTGGAGAAAGCTTTGTAGAAACTGGAACTTGAGCTCTGTTTTGTTGTTAGTTGCCATCGAGTTGATTCCGACTCATAGTGACTGCATGTGTGCAGAGTTTGCGAGGCTGTTACCTTTTGGAAGCAGATCACCAGGCCTGTCTTCCAACTTGAACTCTAAACCGTGTCAAATTTATATGTTTGTGATAGATGAGAGTGCTATAGGGTTGCATTGTAGTTAATAGGAAGCAGTAATACCAAAAGAAGAGGATTGAAAATGCTACAGTGTGGCAGGTACAGTAAATGGATGCCTGATTAGTGTATCTGCAAGGCTGTATAGATAAAATAGACCAAACGTTTGAAAGTCTAGCATTAGTATTATTGCACGTCTGTGATGTGATTAATGTTTTCTATAAAATGAGTACTATTTGGCTTCTTTCAGGAGAGGCAGTATGGTGTAGGGATCAAGAGCATGATCTTTGTCATAAGACTAGGTTAAAAATCTGGCTCTATCACTTATAATCCACTTAATTTTGGGTAAGCTACTTACACTCCATGTGCCTAATTGTCACATCCATAAAACAGGGTTAATAATATGATCCACCTCATAGAGTCATTGTGAAGATTAAATGAAATAAAGCAAGTAAAGTGCTTGGCATGGGGCCTGGCACTTGGTAAGCATTCAGTAAATGTGTGTGCTATTATTATTGTTTTAAAAAAGTCTGGATATGGGGAGAATAGGTTGGAGCCTATTAAAGTAATTTGAAATGTGGCTCAGAACTTGAATCCCTAACTAAAACACACAAACTTTTCATCTTCCTAACTGCTCTGTTCACCTTGTTTCCATATGGTTCCTTTCCTTTCCTTGTGTTATAAGGCTCTATTTGAGAACTGTCTAAGCTGTATTTCTTATAGTCATTACTGTCTATATTCCTGTTTCAGTCCAGATACAGCAGTTTCCTTTATTGCAAACAGGAAATATTCTGTTTATTTCTTTTAGAGTGTGATCCTATATGTGAATTGAAGAAATTCATTCCAAATCATGATGTTTTTATTGAAGACTTGTCTCTGGATACAATAATGGAAAGTTTCTTAAGGGGTGATAATTGTGACTTAATGATGGGAGAATCCTCAGAATGTTATGACAGATTAGAAGAGGATCGTAGCAGTCATGAATATTCACAGGAAACAGTCACACAAAAGAAAACTCATGAGAGAGTCAATAAAGATGAAGAATTTGGTGGAAGCCTCAATGTGAGGTCAGTCCTTGCCCCTGAAAAAAGCCTCCTTGGAAATAATTTCAAACAAACTTCGGACGTAATAAAACATCTGAGAGTCTACTTAAGGAAAAAATCTTGGAAGTGTAATGAGGGCAAGAAATCCTTCAGTTTCCATTCAGACCTTGTTCTGAACTGCAAAGAACACACTGGAGAAAAAACACGGAAATGCAATGAAGGTGGAAAAGCCTTTAGTCACTCTTCATCTCTTATTAGACATCAGAAACATAAGAAAATTCGTTCGGCAGATAAGTCCCAGAAGTGCATTCACTGCGGTGTAGCCTTTACTGAAAGCTCATCCCTTAGTAAGAGAACTGATGGAAAAAATGCCTCTACATGTGATAAATGTTGGAAAGATTTATGTCAGGATACAACCTTGAATAAAGGTGAGAGCACTGAGTCTGGAGAAAAAAACCATAAATGCAGTAAATGTGGAAAAGCCTTCAGCTATAGTGCATCACTCACTAAACATCGCAGAATTCTCACTGGGGAAAAACCCTATATGTGCGATGAATGTGGAAAAGCTTTCAGTGACAGTTCATCACTCACACCACCCCATAGAACTCATAGTGGAAAAAAACGCTACAAATGTGATGATTGTGGAAAAGCTTTCACCATGAGTGCCCATCTCATTAAACATCAGAGAGTTCACACTGGAGAAAAACCCTACAAGTGTAAAGATTGTGGGAGACCATTCAGTGACAGTTCATCTCTTATTCAGCATCAGCGAATTCATACTGGAGAGAAGCCTTATACATGTAACAATTGTGGAAAATCCTTCAGTCATAGCTCATCCCTTTCAAAACATCAGAGAATTCATACTGGAGAGAAGCCCTATAAGTGTGGTGAATGTGGAAAAACCTTTAGGCAGACTTCTTGCCTTACTCGACATCAGAGAATTCATACTGGAGAAAAACCGTATTTATGTAATGATTGTGGGATGACCTTTAGCCATTTTACATCTGTTATTTATCATCAAAGACTTCATTCAGGAGAAAAACCCTACAAATGTAGCCAGTGTGAGAAAGCCTTCCCTACCCATTCACTCCTTAGTCGTCATCAGAGAATTCATACTGGTGTAAAGCCTTATAAATGTAAAGAATGTGGGAAATCCTTCAGTCAGAGTTCATCTCTTAATGAACATTATCGAATTCATACTGGAGAGAAACCCTATGAATGTACCTATTGTGGAGCAACCTTTAGTCGAAGCTCAATCCTTGTAGAACACGTAAAAATTCACACTAGGAGGAGAGAGTATCAGTGTAAAGAATGTCAGAAGACATTTAAAAGTAATTCAGGCCTCCTCAAACATCGAGGATTTCACTCAGTAGAGTAATTCTGGGAGTATAATAAAATGGGACATTTTAGCCAAAACTATCCCTTATTTAAAACCTGAGATACAAACAACCACAACATTGATTACTAGCTGTAACTTTGATAGGTGGGCAGTTAGGAAAAATAGTACTTTTCCTGTTCATCCCTCTTGCAAAGGTGTTAACTGCTGGTAGATAGTAATTAGATTTGGTGAAGTCGTGAAAAATGAGGAAAGTAGTTTGAGATGTGAAATGATTCTAAAAAGCCAAACTTGACTTTAAAATTCAAGGTGTGGGTGGGGGGAATTTGTGCACAGGACCACCTTACTAACCTTTCTTCAGGGGATTTTCCTCTTTTTCTTCTAGCTCCCCTTCCACTGCCAGGTAGTGTATTGGAAAGAACACTTCACTAGAATCAGGTAAACTGGGTTCTGTCCCTACTTGCCAACCAACTTGCTGTGTAATCTTGGGCAAATTATTTGACCTTTCTGAATTTCAGTTCTTTATTTAACAGTAGAATGAAGAGGTTAGACTTACTAATGATTTCTGTGTCTTCCTAGCTCAGATATTCTCTGAAGCTGTGAAAATGAGTTAACAATTTTAGATTAATTGGAACTTTCAAGTTTCTCCAGTAGAGAGTTATTCTCACTTAGGTTGCTGGACTTCTGGCTTAGTGAGATTACAGTATATTTTTTGAATACTTGATGCAGGAATCTCTAGAATACTATAAAATGGAATAGGTCAAACTCAAACGAGTTTGCTTTCAAGCAATGTTTTAACTGGATAAAGCACCCCAACCTCTTTTCCTCTGATTGGCTAAGATTGGGAATCCAGAGGGCTTCCACTTGAACCATCACAGCCATGAGAGTAACAGTGCTAGGAAAATAGAGGTGGGGTTGGGGCAGATGCTGAAAACTCTTGCAAAATAGAATTTTGTTTTTTTAAATCACACTTTTGCCTGTAGCAAGTACAGATCCCTGTAGTTGGAGTGTAAATATTCTGTATGGCAAAGGTCACAAGCTGTCGGCTCAAGAGTCAGATTGGGACCTTAGACATGTTTTAGTTGGTCTGCATGGATGTGTGTGTGTGTAATTAGTTGCTACTATTTGACAGTCAGGAAATTTCATATTTAAGAAAACCAGGACTTATTTTGAAAAATTATAAGAGCTGACAACACTGGACTCATATTTCTATAGGATAGTTAGCTGATCTTGGATAGCACCTGCCACCTTTAGATGGAGAATGTACTCTCCTGCTTGCCAAATTCTTTTCTATAACCTGACTGGCCCACGGTAAGAATTTGATATTATGATCCCCTCCCATATGGAGAATACATATCCAAAATCTAAAGAGAACCCACTGATAGCAAGTAAAATTCAGGAAGAGAATGTAGAAATGATATAGAATAAATTTTAAGTTGTACAGTTAGACCTCAAAGGAATGAAATGTATTGACATTGGTGGATTATTCTTTATAAATTTCATTGGTAAGGTCTAAATGATAATTTCTAACTGAAAAACAAGCTAAAGGCCCTGAATGAATCTCAGGTCGTAGGGATTGGAAGAACTCTACTGACTAAACAATGGTTCAAGAATAAGAATTCCCTAAAGTTGAAGTGAGTCAAAATCAACTCTAGGGCACCTAGCAACAACAGCAACAAAGTTGAAATATGAGGCAGCTCCTATAAAAGAACTAAATCAGGATACTCCAGGTTTATGGAAGTGAAGAGATCCTTATGCTGATCTCATACTCAGCAATATTTGCTGTGATTTAACGGGTTTGGATTTGCAGTGCTACCTTTGAAGAAGGTTTTTGGTTTCTTCCTTTTTCTTCCCCTCCTCCTCACCAGAAGCAAAGCCTGCAGTTCATATAAATGCTGTGTGATAAATTGATCTGCATAGTTATTGCTAAATGGACAAATCAAACACATTCTAGCCATGAGAAGAATATGGCTTATGAAAATCATGCATTGTGGTTTAAAGTTCTTTCTGAAAAAAACATAATTTTTAAAAATAAAGAAATTTGCTAAGTTACTTCTCTTGAGGAAAGCCTTGTTCCAGGATATTTAGTTAAGCTCCTCACCTTTTATAAGAGGATGTTTTATTTCCAGCATCAGTTGGAAATCTGGAACATGGATTTTTTTTTTTTACAACTCTGTTGTATAAATTACATATCATAATTTATTTCAAGTGTACAATTCAGTGAGTTTGAATAAATTTACTGAGTTGTGTAACTGTTACCATAAATCCAATTTTAGAATATTTCATCAACCCAGTGAGACTCTTCATGGCCATTTATAGTTCATCCCCACTCCTGCCCCAGGCAACCATTCATCATTCTACTTTATAGAGTTGCCTTTTCTGGACACATTATATAAATGGAATCATCCAGTATGTGATCTTTTGTGTTTGTCTTTTTTCATTTAACAATATTCTTGAGGTTCATCCATGTGGTAGTACATTATTCCTTTTTATTGAACAGTTCATTGTGTGGATTTACCACATTTTGCCTATCTGTTCACCAGTTTAGGGATATTTGGGTTGTTTACAGTTTTGTTCTCTTATGACTAATGCTGCTTTGATCATTAGTGTGTGCCAGTCTTTGGACATACGTTTTTATTTTTCTTGAGTAGTTACCTACAAGTGCAGTTGCTGGGTCATAAGGTAAATTTTTGTTTACGTTTTTAAGAAACTGCCAGATTGTTTTCTGGTATGACTGCACCCTTTTGTATGCCCACCAGTAATATAACACCCTATTTCTCCACATCCTTATCAATACGTGTTATTGTCTGTTCCTTTGGTTATAGCCATCCTGGCACATGAAGTGATATCTCTTTGTGGTTTTAACTGGAACTTCTTTAATGCCTAATGATGTTGAGCATTTTTTCGTGTGCTCTTTAGCCATTCGTGTATCTTCTTTGGTGAAATGTTTATTCAAATCTTTTGCCTACTTTAAAAATTGGGTTGTCTTATTGAGTTACAGTAAAACCTGTGAAAGCTAGAACTTATGTAAGGCAAAAACCTGTCAGAGCAGGAAAACGCAAATATTTTCTACTCACAGCGATAGAAAAGTGCCTGTACCCTGTCAAAGGGGGAAAACTTACAAGACCCAGAAAAACAAGGCAATCCTATTGAGTTCCGGCATGAGTTTTCTAACAACATGTACTAGCCACAGAGAGAAACCTCAAACCCTGCTGCACACTATGTATCACAAGCTTGGTTTCAGTAATTAATTTTGGGTAATTGACCTAAAGAATATTTAAGTTTGCCCATTACCTAAATACCTAAATTCATTTTTAGATTAGTCAGAGCTTCAAAAGGTTTTACACTTCTTTTGGCTCTTTATAGAATTGCTTTATATTAAGCTGTATGTGGCATTATGACATTGGTTTACATTGTGTAATGCATATTAAAATCAGCCCTATGAAACATTTTACTTTATAATGAAGACCTTGCTTTTAAAAAAGAGTCCTGGTGGCTCAGTACTTAAGCACTTGGCTGCTAACTGAAAGGTTGGTAACCAGCTGCTACGCTGGAGAAAGGTGTGGCAGTCTGCTTCTGTAAAGATTATAGCCTTGGAAACTATGAGGCATTTCTAGTCTGTGCTATAGGGGCACTATGAGTTGGAATCGATTCAACAGCAATGGGTTTGGTTTGGGGTTTGCTTTTAAAAACATTTCCTCTTAATGCACCTCCATTGAAGATATTTCTGTTAGGTCACAGGATGAGACAAGGCTTCTTGGGTCAATGATTTAGTTCTTGAATCTTACAACTGATCATGTTTCTTTGTATTGGTTTCTAGGATGTTGAGGCACATTTGAAGCTCATCTGTACTAAGTGTACAAAACCTTGTGTTTTGTATACTAAGCTTCTCCCTGATTTTATGTTCTTTTTTTCTACTTATATTTTCACTCCAGCCCCCATTAGTCATCCACTTATTTAAGTAACAAAAATTGTGCTTACTTTTTGAAGCCATTTCAAATCCTTTTAGAATAACATATGTAACGGTTATATGTGTATATAAAGTTTTTTTCCTCTTGAATTTCAACTTCTACATTATTAGTCTGTCCCTAACATCCTCCTAAGTTTTTTTCCTGTGTTCTAAATGCCCCTCAAGCACACTTTTGACAGCAGCAGGTTGGAAGGGAGCCTGGTTGACCTAAGGCTTGCCAGTCTAGTAGATTTGGATTCCTTTAGCGATCAGGGATCAGGTTTTCTGCTTCGCTTTGGCAAGCCAACTGCAGTGGTGAGCCTTGGTCCTGGATTTCTTATTCTTAGCTCTCCAGAGGGGTTCTGGGCGCTAATGAACTATATGAGTAGTTCAACATCAGAAAATATTTTAGTATACTCCACTTCCACCGTAACTAAACTACTGGTCACCGTTTTATTCCACTGTCTTATTTCCTTCATGAGATCGTCAGAGATACTAGCCTTTGTCTTGTGTATGACCTGCGTCCACTAGAGTCTATTTTATTTGGTCAATTTTGAAATAGATGTTGAGAATGTATGAAAACAGTTGTTGTGTAGACGTTATATTTAACATCTCATAATAAATCACACAGGCTTTATAGTGAAACAAGTCTAGTAAAAAGAAAGCTTTGACAATTTTGTTTTCTTCAGATTTCCAAATAATTTTGATGTCTAATATAACAGCACAGGTGCTGTGGATAAATGCTGCATCTCTTTGAAAACCCGTGAGTTTTTTGTAGCCACTCTTAGCAAGTCTAGCACCAGTTGGGCTAGAAAAAATTTAACAAAATTTTACTTGACATGAGTAAGGCTTGAGAATACGGAATTTTCTTGCCACTCTATAAGCTTCATAGGAGCAGGGATCTTCTCTTTTTTCCACTGTGACCCAAGCTCCTAGCTCATAGTAGGCATTCAATAAATATTTGTTGATTGACTGAATAATGTTTTGAAGGGGGCGAAAAACACCATTCCTGGTTTTTTAAATGACTCTTAGTAAGTTAAAAATGGAAGGAAATGTTCATCCTTAAATTGATAAAGATTATAAGAAATACGAGAAAATATGGTATAATGTTAATAGGTTAGAGTAAGGAATTCTAGGTTGAAAATCATTTTCCTTCAGATTTTTTAATGTTGCATTGGTTTCTACCTTCCAGTGTTCCTTTCATGAAGTCCAGTGCCATTTCTGAACATTTGTATGTCACTTGTTAGCAGTTTTCCCCCTTAGGATGTCTTTGTAATTGTCTCTGTGTATGATATTAGAAATTTCCCTCTGCTGTTTCGGATATAGGTCTTTTCTGATTCACTGTATTGGGAATTCACTGGACCCTTTCAGTGGGGGAACGCATGTCCTTTGGTTCTGAGAAATTCTTTGGTATTGTTTGTTTAATAATTTCTACTTCATTTTTTCTGTTCTTGTTCTTTTCATCATTCCTATTAGTCAGATTTTGGGCTATTTTTATTGATCCTATAAATTTTGTCATCTTTTTCTTCTTATTTTCCAGGTCTTATTTTAACCTACTTTCTAAAAGATTTCTTCAGTCTTATCTTCCAGTCCTACTGTTAAATGTTTTGGATGTTTTATTTCTCTTCTCATATATTTTGTGTGTGTACTTTAGGTGAAAGTTACAGAGGAAATTAGTTTCTCGTTAAACAATACACATATTGTTTTGTGACATTGGTTGCCAACCCAACAACGTGTCAGCACTCTCCCCTTCTCAACTTTGGGTTCCCCATTTCCATTTTTCCAGCTTTCCTGTCCCCTCCTGCCTTCTTGTCCTTGCCCCTAGGCTTGTGTGTCTGTTTAGTCTCATGTACATGGTTGAGCTACATGTATTATTGTTTGTTTTATAGGCCTCAGATATGACTTCAGTACTGAGTTAAAAGAGTGTCAGGGGCCATACTCTCAGGGTTTTTCCAGTCTCCATCAGACCAGTAAGTCTGGTCTTTTTTTGTGAGTTTGGATCTTATTCTACATTTTTCGCCAGCTCTGTACGGGACCCTCTACTGTATTCCCTGTCAGAGCAGTCGGTGGTGGTAGCCAGGCACCATCTAGTTGTGTCTGGATCATGTTTTTATTTCTAGGTGTGTTTTCTGATTCTCTCTTCCTTTTTTCTAACACCCTATTTTTGTTTTATGGATGAAATACTTTCTTTCTCTGAGTCTAAGTTTGTTCTGCTTCCTGTATTATCTCTGTTTTCTCTGAGTTGCTTTGACCAGTTTTCTGCTGCTTTCACATCGGAGGCTTTCCTCAAACCTCTGGTGATCCTTGACCGTCTCTTCGTATTTCAAAGAAGGGCTCTAAAAAGCTGACTGGAAGGTGTTTTAGTTAGTGCAGTACTGTCCAGTAGACATAGAATGCCACATGTGATTTTAAATTTTCTAGTAGCCAGATAAAAA